ATAAACTCGTGCAACCTCTCATCAATTGGTTTCGTGCCCGAGCCAGAACTTGAACCAGAACCAGATCCAAAACCTCCTAGAGTAGTCATCACCATACTCAAACTAAAACAAACATATAAATAATCAATATATAACTCGAGGAAATCCTCACTATACAGGCCTCCTTAGAGTTTCCAGATCTACTCGTGTCTCAGGTACAGATCTTGTGCTTCTAATAGTACAGGCCCAATACTACCTTTCACACCTACCTGTACCTTCCTCAAGAGCAATCTTGATTCCTATAAGTCAACACACTAAAACCATATACCAACCCTATGTTACACAACATACATATCTGAGGCTCTCCCAGGAAGTCTCAACTCCCACCGCTCGCAATACCAAGAACCTCAATCAACACCGTTGGTTGCCTTATGCATGCAAGTTATACATAAAATATGATCACACAGACTGTCAAATGATGATTCTACCCTAAGTCCACAACCAAAAAATGAACAGGAAATTAGGCCAAATCAATCATTTTAGGGCTATATAATCCTAATCATATACAACTTTGAAAGCATACACTTAGCAATTAACTGAGCCGATATCAATTCCAAGTAATACATAACATCCAATCCTCCTAGGCTCAGGGGCGGACCTAGGGGTGGTCCACGGTGGCACCGACAACTCCTAAGTTTTCCGGCCGCAGTGGAAAATTTTTCGAAAATTTTCGAAACTTTTATTTTTTATACTCCCGTGCAACCCCTACTTTAAAATCCTGCGTCCGCCCCTGCCTAGGCTTTAAGGTATCACAGATATCAGGTAATTCTATCATATCATTCATGAAGGTATCCTTAGCCCTAACCTAGCATGCAATCCTCATATCAAGCATACTACTCATAATACATAGGTATGGGTAATCTTGGGAACCACTTACTTGAGTTCGACTGATTGCACGCATCACACCCATTTTTCTTAGTGAAAATCCTTTTAGAAGTTCAATTTCATTTTTCTTTAAAAAGATTATCATTTCCTCAGTTTGAGTTCTGACACACCCGAAAGTGTGCACGAATCCCTCAAACCAAGGCCCTGATACCAATTTGAAACAACCCAAAAACAGTAATAAAATTTTTCATTGGAAGTCTATCAAATCATTCATCAATTGTTCCAAAATTCAACACCGAATCGTAATATTCAAAACATCAGAGTACAATTATTCAACTTGCGGAAATCATGAGGGGAGGATGTTGTGTCATCATGTCGGGCCCTTCCCTTTCGAATTGAGAGTACCTGAAACCATAAACATAAACTGTAAGCACAAATCTTAGTGAGTTCCCCACAGTACCACACACCAAACATACATACGAATATGTGCCCCGCCTGGGGTATATTTCAACCCAATAAACAAATATGGGCCCCATCGTGGGGTATATTTCAACCCGAACATGCCATAGTGGGCCCCACCATGGGGTATATTTCAACCCGACATACCATAGTGGGCCCCGCCCTGGGGTGTATTTCAACCTGATCATACAAACAAGTATACATCACATAGCAGCTATCATTCTATATAACCGAATAATACGTCGGCATTAGTGTCTTCGACCCATGGATACAGTGAGAAAACTCACCTCACAGATAGATGAGAAAGCAGAAATAGCACGTTGCTCCGAAATCAAATCTACCAGTCACCTTTACAAATACAGTGACCAAAACTCAGAATATAGATCAAAATACCTAAAATACCCCTAGGTCAAACCTTGGTCAAAATCCAGGTAAAAGTCAACCGAGTCAACCTGGTCAACTCGGTAAGTACATTATGCGTACTCAACACGTACGCGGGGCGTACTGAGTGTTTGACCAACCCATGAAGAGCTGACCACTTACGCGTAGTGTACCCTCTGGTACGCCCAACGTACGCGGCTGCCACCAACTCAACCCATTAAGTGCTTAATCCTTAAGCAATTTCATCCAAAATCCAGATCTAGACCCAAAAAGGTGTTCTTAACCATAAAGTTTCAAACTTTATGGTTTTGCATGGCAAATAAGACCTTAACATAAAAAACCCTAGCTTCTTGACCCATTAGGACAACCTATATCATGCATGGGAAGCAAATAATGTCCAAGATCATATTTTTATGACTTAACACACCCTACAACATCTGAAAGGACAACTCGAACGTCTTGGAGTACTCCATACTCGCAAGGATCAAGATTTAGGACAAAAAGGTGCCAACTTTAAGCTAAAATTAGATCTAAAAGAAATACTCATCAAGGTTGGAGCTTTATACCTCCAGAAGGTGCACAAGGGAGTGTAGATGTTGGATCCAAGGCCTTAAGTGAAACACTACAACTTCAAAGCTTTTCCTTCACCACTAAGAGTAGCAAAATGGCACCAAAAAGACACTCCAAGCTTCAAAATGCACTCACACTTTAGGGTTTCGAAATGAGGTCAAGGAGGAATGGAGGCTGGAGTTAAGGAGGGGTATGTAGCTATAATGATGCTTAAATAGGGTCCAAACCCTAAAATTTAGGGTTTGCACCCTGGCCACGTACGCCGAGCGTACGCAAGCCTGTCCAACTAATTACAAAACTGCCATTAGGGACTAGTTTTGCAAATCATTTAAAAACCAAGGGTCAAATTGAAAATACCTAGAAATCAAGATGTTACAGATTTTGAGAGAAATAGATATAGAAAAATAGAAGAATTGGGATTAGGTTTGATAAAATAAAGGTTGTGAGGTTTTATTTATATGTATAATAATAATAATAATAATAATTATTATTATTATTATTATTATTGCGAATTTGACCAAACATGGGAAGATGAGAAAGTAGATTAAAAGAAGAGAGAGAACGTGCAATAGAATTCTACCGCAAACGGCCAAACCGCGCAGGAAACCGATGGGTGGGCGTGGTGTTCCCCTGCCGGCTGCCACCATGGCAAAAGTGCGGCCAAACCGTTGCCACACCATCGGGTCTTTTAGCATAGAAAGTTGAAGAAAAACATAATATCGTACAAGAAAGTCAAAGCTCTTTTGGAAACCATTTTGGAATGAATGTGTTTGATTTGTTTGAATATAGATGTGTATGTGTTTTAACACCAAATGATGTGATGGATCCTAGAATCGTTGTAAAAGAAAATATGTATTCTAAGATGTTAAAAAAGGAAAATATTGAGTTTAGAAGTACGGATCTTTAACTGGAAATATTTAAAATATATGTTTTTATTTATAAACCAATATGGTGTTGGGAAGATGTTTGTTTAATTGGGAGGGAGTCATAAAAAGAATCTCATGAACATACTCCAAACACCCACCAATACATAAAAACCATCTCCATTGAATTAATTGAGTTCTTGAATCTGCCAAAAAGGGGACTTCACATGTCTTTGTATTGTAGTAGTAGTAGATTGATGAAACTTCTAAAATCACATTCACACTTATTCCTAACAAGTAACAACAACTACTCACAGTCACGGACTCGATTATACGTATACGTGACCCCACTTAATGTTATCATTCTTTTCTTATATATCATATCCTGCATCCTCCACATAACAACAATACTTGGAAGCTTCTGCTTCTTTCATTTCCAATTCCAACCATGGATCCAATCCTCTTTCTTCTTCTTGTTGTTGTTTCTCTGTCTGCTTCGCCGGTTTCTGCAGCGGTTCAGCCAACCAAGTCCCACATCACAGTCACAGGCTCAGTGTTTTGCGACGCTTGCTACAGCAACTTATTTACAAGATACAGCTATTTCTTACCAGGTAAAGCAGTAATCATAGATAGTGTTATAGTACTAGAATTTGAAATTTAAATTTATGCCCTTTGTGTTATGTTGTTGAGATAATCACAGGGGCGGATGTTCATGTCCAATGTAAATTTCAAGGTAATGCGCCAAGTACAAAAGAGCAGATTAGTTTTTCAGTGAACAGAACAACAAACAGATACGGTGTATACAGATTGGATATACCATCGGTGGAGGGGGTTGATTGTGTGGAAGGACCGGCCATTCAGTCACTCTGTGAAGCCACTTTAATAAAGAGCTCCGTTCCAGGCTGCAATGTCCCTGGGGTGTCCACAACCACCAAAGAGATCACCGTCAAATCAAAGTCGACTAATGTTTGTGTTTATAGTGTGAGTGCACTCAGTTATAGACCTTCTCAGATCAACTCCACCCTTTGTGCCCTCAACTACCAACAAAAGCTCATCATATCATCGGATTCTTTCAACTCCTCAAAGTTTTTCCTCCCTTATTTCCCTTGGCCTTTACCTCAATTCCCTCCCTTCCCGCAACTGCCGCCGTTCCCACAACTGCCGCCGCTGCCTCAATTGCCGCCGTTCCCACAACTGCCGCCTTTTCCTTCATTTCCACCAACTCAATTCCCGCCACAGCCACCATCTTTGCCATATCCACCACCAAACTTCCCTCCGGTGTTCAATTTAGGAGACCCAAGAACTTGGATACCGAACATCCCTTCACCCAATCCACCATCACCACAACCACCATTCAATCCAAGTGATCCAAGAACTTGGATACCACGAAACCCTTTTCTCATTCCTCCGCCACCACTACCACCACCACCTGGATTTGATCTAAGAAATCCAAGAACATGGATACCAAGTTTCCCCCCTTCTCCCAACAGCCCTCAAAACCAGCAACCCTAGTTGGTTGCTCGTATGTACATACAGCAAAAATTGGCTTCGTTAGTATGTATTATTAATTGGTGGGTCACATTCTTTTGTTGAAAAAACTGTGTATTTTCTTATCATTTATAATAATTACAACCAATTGGGATTATAATTCAGGAGTCTATGCTTGCTTCATATATATACGCCAAACATAAAAATGTAACAACAATCATAAATGTACGCAAAAGTAGAAGACAGAAATACAAAAGCCAAACCATCTTTGATATAATATGAAAACTAATAGTCTAAGAAGCGATTAATGCAGAGATGAAACTTTAGGGACTTAGCAGTGTTAGTAGAGTTTGATCTGTAATTTTGATATTAAAACTAGCATATTATGACTCCATTGCTCTTGGGCACTTTTATGTTCCTATGTAACTCTTCAATGGTGTCATTGGCCTCCTACAAGAAACAAGAAACAAGAATTTATAGCTGATGCTGAGGACATTATAAATTGGTTCGTTAAACAATAAGGAATACCTTCAACTTATTCCTCAAAGTCTCTTCCAGGGCTTCCCGTCTGTTTCTTTCTTCAGAAAATATGTCAATAAGGTTTATTTGTTCTTGATCCAGCACTTGAATCTTTTCTTGTAATTTCACAATCTGTCCATCAACCAACCAACCAACCACCATTGACATTCATATTTTTATACAAACATATTTCAAAAAAGAGAATTTACTTACTTGATTTTCAAGAGAAATAGTCTTGTCTTTCTCAGATTGCAGATCCAACAACAAATCATTGAGCATTACACCCTCGCTTGTCTCTAGTCTGCAAAACAATTACATACCAACAAACATAAGTAAATGGTGAAATTCTCCTTGCCAAATAAAAAACAAACCTCTTCTTGAGTTGCAGATTCTCTTCCTTCAACTTGGCTATGGTGTCGTCTCCATTCATAGCTGCTTTTGATTCTTTACATTTAATTTTTGGTAATCTACTTGTAATGATTTCTGGAAACTCTGATTCATCAGATGTTGATGCTTCAACTTTTCTGATGGGCCTCAACTCATCACTTTGAACATCCGGTTTATCTTCCATTGAAGGTCTACATTTTGTATCTGAACTGCTCTTGCAACGTTTAGCATACCCAATTTCTTGACAATTCGTAGACCTAAACAAAAGAGTCAAATTTTGTTGGCAGATTAAATTTGGTGGGTATGTGTGTGTGAGGAAAAATAATAAATGAAGAGAAGAAAAAAACCAGTATTTCTTTTGTATGACAACCAATCGATTCTCAAGTCTTGAAAGTACAGTTGTGCGTTCAAACCCCTGTTTATCATGAGCTGGCTCAACAAAATCAGCTTCTAATACGCCTATAACTCCCCTACCATCACTTCCAGCAGCGTTCCAAACCCTCCAAAATGGCTGTCACACAAATTAAAATTAAAATTAGAAAACATATATACACAAATCATTTATATAAGAAGAAAGTCAATTAAACCTTAATGAGTCGGTTCTTGTGATAAACATTGAACCCTTGAACATCGATATGGTCTTTTGCATCTTTCACAAAACCTATAGTCACCACAGCCACCATCTGGTAGGTGGAGAAACAAGAGTAGAATTAAAATTCCTAATTTTAACATGCAGATAATAATAATAATAATAATAATAATAGTACTACATAAGGATTTAGGGTCGATACGTTTTGATCATTCCTTGTGGTTGTCCATTCAGGACATGGTTGTGTTGGCTTATACGTAACCATCTGAGTTAGCATCATATCATCAACAATATTATGATGAATTACATCTTCTCCACGAAGGATGATTCTAAAGCCCTCTGGAATGCGCAGGTATAAAATTGCTGCATAATTCTGGACAAGTAAAAAAAAAAAGATAAATTATACATATTATATGCAAATATATATATATAGATAAATGGATTGTAAGTGGGAGAAATTATACTCTTAAGGAATGCCTGTAAGTTAAAAAGTGGCGAGAGTTGGGATACTGTTTCGCCATCTCAATCTTCTTGGGATCTCGATTGACCCCTCTGATTTGGATGTCCTGTCAATTCAAGAAAGGAGTAGCTCATTTAGGTTAAAAGAGAAACCAAGAAGAAGAAAAAACACACCTAATTATATATACAAACATAAACATATACATACGTGTAGATCAGTGTCAAAATCAAGCTCTAATTGTCCTTCTTCGTCCTCCCAAATGTTGTATATAATGATGCGTGTGCCTTGAGTGTTGATGAAATCAAACTACAAGTGAAACAGAAAAAGATTTAGTATTGACTCTGCTTACATTTCTAAAACAAAATAACAATAACATGATTACCTGCTGTAAGAGAGCATCTTCAGTCGTGTATGGAGACCACTGGACCAGTGTCTCCATGTTTCTTTTCCAATCCTCAGGTGTGAATCGCACCATCATTCCCCAGTCATCTCCTCTCTTTTCAAAGTCAATCTAAAAACACAATAATATATATATATAT